ACGGTAAAAATTTGCCGAAAAGGGGGCTAAAAGGGGGCAAAACCCGCCGATCCGTAAACATCCCCGGACCGCTAACTTTGCGGGCATAATTCCCAAAGTTTTCTATAAAATTTTCAAACTTTTGGTGTCGTTATGATGGGGAAAAAGATTCTTTTTCCTTTTCATAAGAGAAAAAATTTTTTTTTTTTTAAAAATTTTGGGCCGACCCGAAAAGGGGATTTTTCGGAGAGGGCCTGTCGACCCTAAAAGGGGTTTTAAGGGAAAATAAGATGATTTTTTTAAAAAAAATGAAATTTTTTTGGGGTGTCTTTATGTATTGTTTTCAATGTGTGTTTTGAAAGGTTTTAAAAACGACAAATTTAAGAATTTAGACACTTTTGCAACATATAGGAAAACTTTATTCAGGAAGCAGAAAAAGGGGTAAGGAGAGGGGGGGGGGTTTTTTAGGGAATAAGTCCTCAGCCTGATCGATGTGCTCAGTCCATCAAACTTGTAGAAAAAAACAGCTTTTGGGGTAGGGCGTGGCTTATATACGGGAGTCCCCGGTGAAAAGGGGGAGGAATAGGTGAGGGCATAGTGGGAAACCCTCCACCCGTCTAAGTAGGTTTTTCCCAAAGGGGAAAAATGGTTTAAGAATTCACTCGATGGACCCGAAACCATCGACTTTTAGGCCCGAGGGATGATTACCTCAAAAACCCCCCTTTTCCCTTTCGCCTTTCGCTTTGGGATTGGACTGTTGAAACCACTTTTTTGGCAAAACGTTTCCTGAAAAAAAAATTCCCATATGTTGCCTAAGTGTCCAACATTTTTTTTAAACTGTACAGGGAATTTAAAAAACCCGTAAAATTTAGTTCAAGAAAATTTTACTAGTCTTTAGTGCTTTTTATTAGGAGTCAGACATACGTGCCCACAAGACCCTTTCACTTTTTTTTTTGTCACCAGGAACCCCCTTAAGCTCATGGATACGGCAAAATGTCCCCCACTCTTAAAAAATTTACCACCCGAGGGGGCTCGTTCCCCCAGGAGCTGGAGAGCAGTTTAATTTTCCCCAATGCTCCCCTCCCATACGTTTCTACGTATTATTATTACTATGGCATAAAAAACAAAAGAAAACACTCTTATTTATTTTTTATGAGTACCCGCAAAGCCAACACAGTGGTAAAATGTATTTTGGCACAGGTACACATAAGTATGTTTCAGAGACAAATTTTTTTAAAAAAAAACATAAATTTAACCCCTTTTAGGGGCGGTTTCCGTTTTCTTGTAACCCGCTTTTAGAGCCGGGTCGGGGCCCCAAAAATTTAACGCTTAAAAATTTTTAAAACTAGCGAGAGAAAGCTTTAGGCCCCACTTTTGAAAAATGGGTCCCATGTGGTCAGTGTGAACATTTAAAAAAAAACCTACAGTAAATAAGACAAAAAAAAAAAAACTCCAAACGTGGGTTTTTGGTTTTTTAAAAAAGTGAATTTGCAGTGGGATTTTTATAAAGGGATTTTTTTGTGTATTCTCAGACAAAATTACAGAAATGGAGATGATTTTGATTGGTTTCATGATGAAAAAGTACCTTGAAAATGAGCTCAAAGCAGCGGAAATGTTCGATTTTTGTCGATGTTCAAGAGTAAACAAATTTCGCCAAGCGTCCAATACACGTCAACTGTAAGTCGAATATTCTTTCACAAGTGTGCTGATATTATTTATACCATTTTTTACAACAATGCAGTAGTCTGCATAACAGTAAATCTTCTATTTTTTGTGAGAATAAAAATTCAAAATGGAAAGCAAGAGAAATATAAGAGGGGCCTGGAGACATGACTAATGAACAGAGAAAATGTTATTTTAGTGCCAGGAATGTCTGTCTTGTTTATTCTCGACCCTATTTTGAAATTGACATCATTTGAAATTTGTGTGAAATTGGCCAAATTGCCAATTTCTGACCACTTTATTCAGTAGTTGAAATCAGTAAATGGGCAGTTTCTTTTACTCAAACAATAGACCAAATGGAGTTCTAACGAAATCATTATGATTTTAGTCAACTGGAACACTGGAATTGGCCCAAAATAGGGCTCAATTTGGGCAAAATTGCCTATGTGTATACATCGTCGAGACCGCTAACATTGCGAGAGCATAACTCCGTATGTTTTCCATCAAATTTCATACTTTTGGTGTCATCACCATCGGGAAAACATTCTCTATCATTTCATAAGAAAAAGTAATTTTTTTTTTTTCGACCCTGAGAACAAGTTCAGGATCAGTGGTCTCGACCTTGACAGGGTTAAAAACACTTGAAATTTTTGGAAAGTTGCCAAACATAATAGAGAGATGTGCTCACGGAGAATGCACACAAACTGGGTGGGGCGCGCCGTATTAGAAAGACAGCTGTATAGCGAGTTTTGGTCATAATTTGAAATCACCACATTAGTGGAACATCATAAGGTGAAATGCCATAAAGTGGGGCCCTAACTGTATATGAGTCCTAGGCATACCTATTATAAGGTTTAATTGATAAATTATGCACAATAAGTGGAGAATTATCACTTTTTCACTGATGGGAAGCACTTCACACCTTCTCTTAGGCTTTGAAGAGCCTGCCAGCTTTTCTACTTTTGTGCTTTAGGGCCACTATTTTGCAAAATTAAGAGGTATTTTTGGGCCACAGTAAACCATGGATAACTGAAACTGTAGATACCAAATTAATGGATACAGGGGTTCTACTGTATTTCTTTAACACATTGGCCATCTCCCACCCAGGTAGGGTGACACAAAAAAAGAAACACTTTCACCATCATTCACACACAACTGCTGTCTTTCCAGAGGCACCCAGATACAACAGTTCAGATGTCACTCCAAACAGCCAATATCCCAAACTTCTCTTTAATGTGCAGGTATCGTACTTCCCACCTCCAGGACTCAAGTCTATTCTATCTAACCAGTTTCCCTGAATCCCTTCACAAAATATTACCCTGCTCACACTCCAACAGCTCATCAAATCCAAAAATCATTCATCTCCATTCACTCAGATCTTACACACTCACGCATGCCTGCTGTATGTCCAACCCCCTTGCACACAAAACCTCCTTTACCCCCTCCATCCATCGCTTTTGAGGATGACCCCTTCCCCCTCCTCCCCTCCACTACAGGTTTATACACTCTCCAAGTCATCCTATTATGCTCCATCTTCTCTAAATAACCAAACTACCTCAACAACCCCTCTTCAGCCCTCTGAATAATATTTTAGTTAACTTCACACCTCCTAATTTTTACAATATAAATTCTCTACATAGTATATATACACCACACATTGCCTACATACATACACATATGCTTGTAACCACTCCACAATGTCACTATTTCATTTTAACTAGAATACCTGCATAAAATTCAACTGAATACCTGCTAAATGTATTAGGCTCTGTTCTACCCTTTTTTCTGGCACACTGTTCTCAATCCTTTACTTTCAAATTTTATTTTTATACAGCAAAGAATGGGCATCTACTGTATTTATGACAAAATGTCAACAATCATCATCAAATAAAAGACTCACCTCATGAGTCTTTATTTTACATCTACAATATAAATACACAAGTTAACAAGTTAACCTTTTGACTGTCACGGCCGTATATATATACGTCTTACGAGGTACCGTGTTTGACGAATATATACTCATAAATTCTAGCGGCTTCAAATCAAGCAGGAGAAAGCTGGTAGGCCCACATGTGAGAGAATGGGTCTGTGTGGTCAGTGTGCACCATCTAAAAAAAATCCTGGAGCACACAGTGCATAATGAGAAAAAAAAACTGACCATTTTTTAATTAAAATGCCGACTTTGTGGTCTATTTTCGTATCGTATTTATGGTTGTATTCTCGTTTTCTTGGTCTCATTTGATAGAATGGAAAACATATTATAGAAATAGAGGTGATTTTGATTTATTTTACTATAAACTATGATTTATTTAACTATAAACACGCGTGAGCGTGTTTGATAGGAGTGAATGGAGAAATGGTTTTAAATCTTGATGTTGCTGTTGGAGTGTGACAAAGTAACATTTATGAGGATTCAGGATAACCGCATGCCGACTGAGTCCTGAGATGGGAAGTACAGTGCATGCACTCTGAAGGGGGGTTAATGTTGCAGTTTAAAAACTGTAGTGTAAAGCTACCCTTATGCAGACAGTGATGGAAGAATGATGTGAAAGTTTTCTTTTTCGGGCCACCCTGCCTTGGTGGGAATCGCCAGGTGATAATAAAAAAAAAAAAAAAGAACCTGACATGGAGCTCAAAGTAGGAGAATGTTTGATTTTTGCAATGTCAAAAGTAAACAAATGATGTCATTGTTCCACAGTAATGTCCAACTAGCCATTCTAATGCATCTATGAATGGTTTGAATGTTATTTATTCAATTATTACAGTAATTGCAGTATCTGCATAATAGTAAGTCTTCTATTTTTGTTTGAATAAAAATCAAATAGAAAGCAAGAGTAATATCAGAGGGTCCTGAGTACATGACTGATAACAAAGAAAATGTATTTAGAGCCAGGAATGTCTGCATTGTTCATTCTGACCTTTTTTGAAAATTGTCATATTTTTTAATTTTCATGAAATGGCCAAATTGCAAATTCTGACACATTTGGGTATTGAAAATTGGGAAATGGGCATTTTCTGTACTCAATCGATAGAAAAAATGGAGTTCTAAAGAAAAAGCTATGAGTTTGGTCGACTGGAACAATGGAATTAGCCAAAAATAGGGCTCAAAGTGGGCAAAATCGCCGATTTGTAAATATCGCCGAGGTTGCTAACTTCGTGAGAGCATAATTCCGTCAGTTTTCCATCAAATTTCATTTTTTTGGTGTCATTACAATCAGGAAAAGATTCTCTATCATTTCATAAGAAAAAATTTTTTTTTCTTTTTTTTTTTTTAAATTTTGCGACACCAGGAGACACCTCAGGATTGGGGGTTGCGACAGTCAAGGGGTTAAGGTTTATATGTTGTAAAAACGACTTACCCCAAAATTGGCTTGATCACATTCCAGGGATATTGTCCATGCTGCCTGGGACTGTTGCTGTTTCAATTCACTCCAACGACGTCCCTATAGATAAAATGGGTATTGACTATGTTTTAGTGTAATACTGTATTGCACAGTATTTTACTTCAACTTAATGCCAGAGTTTTGGTACCAAACCCCAGCAACTTGTTGGTAATGACACTTAAATATCCCAAAGTACATTATTTTTATAGGGTATATATGTATTTATACAAATATGCATCAATATAGCATTTCTTAAAATATTTTAACAAGTAACTTTACAATATGCAGATAAAGTATCTGAAAACTGTTACTGATATAGTACTGAAGACAACTTTCTTCTTCCTCTCTAACCAAAATTACCTTACATCATAATTACTTCTTTGTAACAAACTATTACAGTACTGTAGCAAGGTAGCATATTACTGCAGGTAATATTTGAATTAAAAGCAAATTAAAAAGTGTTATGAGCATTATTATCAAGATTTTTTAACAGAACTATAATATTTTTTGTCGTAATGACTGAAAATAATCTATAGAGCAAATTTTAAAAACTGGCACTTTCATAGATCACCCTGAAGAGGTTAAGGTTTCAGAAGATGACACTCAGATCAATTATATCTAGCACTTTTTTTTTCCCCACCAAGGTATATTACATTATTTAACAGCACACTGGAAGAAATAAGCATACTCAGAAACAAAGCCATGATTAGGATTCATGTTTAGGACATTCTTTAAGAGTCTACTTAGCAGGAAAAATTTAACTGAAAGATGATCAACAAGGCAGAGAGTTTCTTGTTGGTGTAGGATAAGCATTTCTTCTCTGTTCCATAAATCTGTCAAAAAAGTGGCCAGTTTAACCAGTACATATTAGAGAAGGCAATAAAACAAGAATCAGTGGAAGCAGTAGTAGTAGTACTTTTATATACAATATAACAGATTACTTTGACATGTAATATAGTTTATGGAAATAAAAGTAAACCTTCTGACTTATCCAAGGTTGTCCCATTACACTGAAATTCATTTCATATTTACTAAAGCTTAGGTAGAGGATAAAAAAAATTCAGTGAAGGCATAGAATTTTTAGTTGTAAGCCAAATAATCCAGGTAAAGGGTTAACTAGAGAAAGTGTGCTATTAAGATTAAACACACAAAAATGCTAAAGGAATGGCAAAGATTTTACTAGAGATGTGAGTTTAGGAGAGAAGAAAACATTTTAGCATAAGAGTAAGCTGAATTTATGAAAAGAGAATGATAGCCAAGATATGAGAATGATTTCCAAAGAAAAGAAACTTCAATCTCAAGAAACAAAATTACAAATGCAGAGGGGATGGAGGAAGAGAAACAATAGTTCAACTCTTAATAGTTTGTGTACTGTGGAAAAGTAATAAATACACATGCCACTGTATAAAGACTTGCAGTAAATAGAGAATGAAAATCTTATCAAAGAGAATGAATATGGACACAAGAAAAACAAGTAGGGAGTTCAATTCCATTTTGATTTGCAAGTTGTTAAGAGAAAGTGTTAAAAGAGATCAAAAGTCATTTAGCCGGAGTGTAAAGACACAGTGATAGATGTATTGTACACCAATAGTTGTTGAATTGGCTTTGATACACATCCAAACATAAATCCCAGCCCTAGCTGTAATTCTGTAGATACTAGTTTCTTTCAACTTGATTGTAACTGTCTCCTCATCCAACACAGCCTCAAGCTTACTTGTTATTAAGGTAAACCATTTTCCTACTCAACTGAGTAGGAAACATCATTCAGTACAGTATTTCATATATAATTTGAGGATTTATTGTGAACTGAACATGATTTTTCCTAAACAAAACTGAAGAGCTACTGGGCAAAAATGTCAGCATTAGATAAATACTGTAGCCTTACACTCAACCAAAAGAAAATATAATACAATAATACAGTATGAAGAAAATTTATCAAAAACAATTTACAATGTTATTAACTTACTGCAATCAAACCTGTAGTTCCAGATATACAAAAAGCATCTGTAGACACCATTGAATAGACTGCATCACTATGAGCACTGATCGTCTTGAAAGGTCCCCCAAGTCGTTCGCCAACACCCGTTTCTCGACTTGTGTTTACGCCTGATAAACTAAATACAGTATAGATAGTAATACAAATACTGTAGAAGGTAAATAAATACATAACTCATAACTAGAACAAGAAAATGCATCAGTGATGCCATTTTCCATTATTATAATTCTGCATTCATAATAACAATGTATTTTGACTGGTGTCTTGGGCCAGGATGATAATAACTTCGACATCCTTGAGTTTGTTTTCAGTTTATAAAGTAATCTTTCACTGTTTTCATTTTCAAGAGTGAGCCTAACATCTGAAAAGTTTAACTTGTACCCTTGTGTTGCCATGCACTGGCCTACATGGCCCGTGGCCTGGTAGGCAAAACTCTCACCTCACATGCTGAGGGTCTGCAGTTCGATTTCTGGCAAGGGTGGAAACACTGGACATGCTTCCTTACACCTGTTGTCCCTGTTCACCCATCAGTAAAACAGGTACATGTGCCTGGGTGTTAGTCGACTGGTATGGGTCGCATCCAGGGACAAAAGACTTTCTATATACTAGTAGTACAGGTTGGCCATCACTAATCCGGCGATCAGTGATCTGGTTCCATCAGTAATCCGGCAATAATTATGGCTAGCATAATTTCAAATTTCCGGGGTCGCCACACCAACCTGCTGCTACTGTTTGGTGGCGCTAATTGCTGCATAAGTCATTCCAATTTCTTTTTTTCCATTTATTGCTATAACCTGCTCACTTTTAGCCCTAGCCATGGTTCCAATGAATAAAAGAAATGCTTCTCATTGTGTACAGCACATAAAACGTACATTTTCCATAAAAGATAAGTGGCTTTGAAGCCACTGTTGGTCACTATGAGCTCAGCTCACTAAGATAAGCTGTGACCAGTAAATTTGGGCCTACATATGAGAGAATAGGTCTGTGGTAATTGTGCACTATATAAAAAAAAATCCTGCAGCACGCAGTGAATAATGAAAAAAAAACTGCAACCATGTTTATGGCTCAAACCTGACTTTGGGGTGTATTTTCATATGGTTTGTATGGTTGTATTCTCGTTTCTCTGGTCTCACTTCACAGAATGGAAGATATATTACAGAAATAGATATAATTTTGATTGGTTTCACACCAGACAGCACCTTAAAATTGAGCTCAAAGTAGTGGAAATGTTTGATTTTGCCAATGTTCAAGAGTAAAGAAATGACCCCAATGGAAATAAGTAAAGGAACCCTATGGAAATAAGACACTTTGATTTTTTGTGTTCTAGGTTCTCTACACATATGCTTTGTATGATAATCTATGTAACTGTATATGTGTATACCTGAATAAGCTTGCTTACTTGCTGATGTCACCATCCAATACATGTCCAACTGGCCAGTCTAATATGCAGACATGAATGGGTTGACATTATTTATACAATTGCAGTGGAACTCTGGATTTTATAAGCAATGAATATCATACATTTCGGATTTAGACCACTTTTGGGTGAAATTTTGGTCTGGATTTCGTACCTCCATTCGGAAGTCATACGTATCAGATGCGTCCCGCCCGCCCAGGATGCCACCACTCTCATGTGTATGTGTCTCAGTCTGGCTCTGTCAATGATTGAGTGAGCATTCATCTGAAACATTTCGCAATTTTTGTGCTTGTTTATTGACTTTGACTGCAAAATAAGCCATCATGGGCCCAAAGAAAGTTTCTAATGCCAGCTCTTTGGTAAAGAAGGTGAGAAACATGACAGAATTCAAGAAAGAGATTGTAGAAAAATACGAAAGTGGAGTATGTTTAGCCGAGTTTGCCAGGATGTATGGAAAGTTGAAATTGCAATCTGTTCCATCCTGGTAAAGAAAGTAGAAATCAAGAAAGCTAAAGTTGCAAAAGGGGTAAATATGCTAACAAAACAGAGATCACAAACAATCAAAGATGTGGAGTTGTTGTTGTTGGTGTGGATCAATGAAAAACAGTTGGCGGGAGATAGTGATGTGGAGTCGAATCATTTGTGAAAAGGCAAGGCAGTTGCATGTGGACCTCATAAAGAAAATGCCTGGAATGAGTGCTGCTGTTAGTGAATTTAAGCCCAGCAGAAACTGGTAAAACAGATTCAAGAAGCGTAGTGGCATACACAGTGTTGTAAAGCATGGTGAGGCTGCAAGTTCGGACAAATGTGAGGCCAAAGAATTCGTTGATGAATTCAAGGAGTATGTAGAGGCTGCAGGATTCCTCCCCCAACAAGTGTTCAATTGTGACAAAACAGGCATCTTTTGTTAGAAAATGCCAAGGAGGACCTACATCATGCAGGAGGAAAAGGCATTGCCAGGACACAAGCCTATGAAGAATAGGCTAACTCTTTTGTTCTGTGGTAACGCTAATGGGGATTTCAAAGTGACGCCTTTACTGGTGCATCACTCTGAAAATCCCAGAGTGTTCAAGAAAAACAATGTCATCAAGAGTAAATTGTGTGTGATGTGGAAAGCTAATAATAAGGCATGGGTCACAAGGCATATTTTCATTTTCATTGACTGGGTCCATGAAGTGTTTGGCCCGAGTGTGAAAAATACCTCCTGGAAAATAAATTGCCACTCAAGTGCCTCCTGGTAATGGACAATGCTCCTGCTCATCCTCCAGACTTGAAAGACCAATTGTTTAGGGACTTCAGTTTTATAACAGTGAAGTTCTTGCCTCCTAACACCACTCCTCTCATCCAGCCCATGGACCAACAGGTCATTTCTAACTTCAAAAAACTCTACACCAAAGCAATGTTTCTAAGGTGCTTTGAAGTAACCTCGGACACTGATTTGACCCTAAGAAAGCTCTGGAGGGATCACTTCAATATCCTCCATTTCGTAAGGGTTGGCAGGAAGTGACTTCCAGAACTTTGAACTCTGCTTGGAGAAAATTGTGGCCAGAATGTGTCCTCGACAAAGATTTTGAAAGGTTCATGGGGTTGGATGTGAGTGGCCAGGATGTGGAAGAGTTGGTGGAGGACCACAAGGAAGAGCTAACCACTGAAGAGCTGCAAGACTTTCATCTGGAACAGCAAGAGACCACAACTGAGAAAATTGCTTCAGAGGAGGAGGGAGAGAGAGGGGAGAAGGTGCCTTCTTCAGTGATTAAGGACATTTGTGCAAAGTGGAATGAGGTGCAAACTTTTGTTGAAAAATATCACCCTGAACAAGCTGATACAATTGAATACCTCGCACCAATTTAGGCAATCTTAAAGAGACAGCAGAAACAGAGCTCTCTGGACAGATTTTCAGTGCAACAGAGGTCCAGTGCCAGTAAATAACAAAGAAGGAAAGTAACCCTAGAGAGGGTTTTGATACCTGAAGTCCTTATGGAAGGGGATTCCCCTTCCAAACACTAACCTCAACTCCCTCTCTCCTCCTCACTTTCTTCAATACACCAACAAGTCTTCAATAAAGGTATGTAATGTTCATTTATCATTAAAATTAGTCATTTATATTTAATTCTCATTGTTTTCTGTATGTAAAACTATAGTTATTCTTTTAAAAAATGTATTTTCTGTTAATATTTTTGGGTGTCTGGAACGGATTAATTGTATTTACATTATTTCTTATGGGAAATATTACTTCGGTTTTTGCATGTTTCGGATTTAGACCAACCTTCTAGAACGAATTAAGTACGAAATCTGGGGTTCCAATGTGTTACAATAATGCACTAATCTGCATAACAGTAAATCTTCTATTTTTTTGTGAATAAAAATTAAAAATGGAAAGCAAGTGTAATATAAGAAGGGCCTGGATACATGACTAAATTTGGGCCTACATATGAGAGAATAGGTCTGTGTGGTAAGTGTGCACTATACAAAAAAAATCCTGCAGCACACAGTGCATGAGAAAAAAACTGCAACCATGTTTATGGAGCAAAATTGATTTTGCAGTGTATTTCTGTATGGTTTTTATGGTTGTATTCTCGTTCTTTTGGTCTCATATGATAGAATGGAAGATATACAGTATTACAGAAATAGATGTGATTTGGATTGGTTTCATGACAGAAAGTACCTTGAAACTGAGCTCAAAGTGGAAATGTTCGATTTTCGACGATGTTCAAGAGTGAACAAATAATGTCACCGTTCAATACGTGTCCAACTGGCCAATCTAATACACAGTCATGAATGGCTTGACATTACTTATATAATTATTAAAATAATGCAATAGTCTACATAATAGTAAATCTTCTATTTTTTCTGTGAATAAAAATTCAAAATGGAAAGCACGTGTAATATAAGAGGGACATAGAGAAGTGGGTAATGAACTGAGAAAAAGTTATTTTAGTGCCAACAATGTCTGCATTGCATATTCTGGACCCTGTTTTGAAACTGGCATCTCTTGAAATTTGTGTGAAATTGGCCAAATTACCGATTTCTGATCACTTCACTGGTTAGTTGAAATAGGTAAATGGGTGGTCCCTTGTACTCAGTCGAGAGAATAGAAGGAATACCAGTGAAATAGCTATGAGTTTGGCAGACTGGAACAATGGAATGGGCGAAAAATAGGATGTGAAGTGGGTGAAATCGTCTATGCGTAACTATTGCCATTGGGTTAAATGTACTCTAACCTAACCACTCTGTAATCTGGCAAAATCACTAATCCGGCACCCTACAGGTCCTGATGGTGCTGGATTAGTGATTGTCAACCTATACCACTATACTCTCATATATTCCCTTCTTTGCCACCATGGGTAACGTTCTGTCTCCCCAGTTACCTCAACACACCACTCACCTTTTTTCCTTCATCAATTCTATGGTTTACCTCATCCTTCATAAACCCATCTGCTGACAAGTCAACTCCCAAATATCTATAAACATTCACTTCTTCCATACTCCCTCTCTCCAATGTGATATCCAATTTTTCTTTATCTAATCATTTGATACCCTCATCACCTTACTCTTATCTATATTCACTTTCAACTTTCACACTCTCCTAAACTTGTCCACTAACCTTTGCAACTTTCCCTTAGAATCCCCAAAAAGTACAGTATCATCACCAAAAAGTAACTGTGTCAACTCCCATTTTGTATTTGATTCCCCATAATTTAATCCCACCCCTCTCCCCAACACCCTACCATTTACTTCTTTTACAACCCCATCTATAAATATGTTAAACAACCATGTTGACATCACACATCCCTGTCTAAGACCTACCCCTAACATGAGCCTCACTATCCTCATAAAAACTTTTAACAGCATTTAGTAACTTACTACCTATTCCATACAGCTGCAACATCTGCCACATTGCTCTCCTATCCACTCTATCATATGCCTTTTCTAAATCCATAAATGCAATGAAATCTTCCCTACCTTCATCTAAATACTGTTCACATATATGCTTCAATGTAAACACTTGACTACACATCCCCTACCCACTCTAAATTCTCCTTGTTTATCTGCAATTTTACTCTATGTCTAACTTCTAATTCTTTCAATAATAACCCTATCATACACTTTACCTGGTATACTCAGTGAACTTATTCACCTACAATTTTTACACTCCGTCTTGAGCTCAGCACACACAGGATCAAGCCTCCACCACATCTTGCACTGAATGACCCACAGGGGTTTAGCACTTAACATGATTTATTATTATATTATATTAATATTATACAGAATGAACCTAATGCAATGATGAAAAGAATTACAGCAATTCAAAGAGATGCATAGGTTAGTTTTTATTTAGTAAGTCATAAAGTACAGGGGTAATTAAAATGGAAGTGTAAATTTGTCCAATAGCTGGGTAATGAACAGTTCATGAAGGGCTACAGTATTTATAAGATAATTAGGTAGTGACCAGCTTATAATTTAGGTTTGGTTACTGTTAGTTTGCTAAACCTAAGAAAATGTACATTGAACCACAAATAAGCAGTCCATATAATAATAAATCGCATAAAACACTTATAGAAATAATAAAAGTGATATTTTATGATGACTTAGCCTAGGATAGCCCTGCAGTCAAAAGAATTTAAATCCTTTACTTTACCTATTTAAACTTCAGCCTAAATAAGAGTTATGGAAATTAGTCAACATTAAAGTAGCCTGTGTGATATACACATCTATAAGTTAAGCTTATAAAAAATCTTATTTTTGGCAACCTAGTCAAGATTTCGAGTTAAATTTAAGGTTAGATTAGGCTGATACATTGCTTTTTCCTCACAGGACGAAAATGCAACCATCTTCGTTGTACAGCCCACTTAATACAGTAAAGTTTACATAAAAAGCCGAGACTTTAAGTAAATAATGCTCATAATAGGGAATCCAATCAGGTATCGATTATTAGCAATTCCAAGGCTGAAGGACTGATTACCTCATGTTTTGTATATAGTCCTACTGTCTTAAAATAATGTCCTAGAATCTGTATTGATAAAGCCACTGGATGACGAAACATCTACAATAAAGATGCCCAGATGTTGCACAAGTGTCTGTTTCCATCGATTATTATACTCATGGAGAAGGACAGGAATGCATTCAGACTCATTTCCTTGGATCAAAAGCCCGTCATCATCCTCCCTTGACCGGTTCCGGATTGTTACGCTGACCACAGCGGTCATCATTATAGAATTATTATTTTGGCTTTGGCATGCTGCACTTTAAAAATTGTATTCCTTGTACTTCTCTGTATCATGTTCAAATTAATAAATAAATAAATAAATAAATTATGCAATTCTGTAACAGCGGAAACGTTGATTAGATTTAGATTAGATTTTGCCACCGAAGTGGCTAGTTTATTGTGCACCCCATATCCATCCTGTGACGGTTAGCGGAGTGCATTATGGATGACACAAAAAGGCTAGGAACTAGGCCAAAGGGTTAACAGGAATACATATGGATTTTTATCTACATATCTATAGTTCACTTATCTGTTACAAGCAAATTTAGGAAATTTGCTTAGTATATCTGGTATCTTATTTTCATTAATAAGATATCTTGCATGTCACATAGGTTATTATACTGTCTGTCTTTATCCTCCATAAGTGGACAATTAAGCACATAGTGTTCAAGAGAGTGACCATATGCCTGTCACATAAGTTACATTTAGTTTTGATCTCATTCTGTGTGTCTCCCAAACTTCCAGAAGTACTTGTAACCTAGCCTAAGTCTGGCCATCTACAACATCAGTAGTACTTGTACAAGCCTAAGCCTGGCCACTACAACATCAGTCAGTACTTGTAACCAAGCCTAAGTCTGGCCACTACAACATCAGTCAGTACTTGTAACCAAGCCTAAGTCTGGCCACTACAACATCAGTCAGTACTTGTAACCAAGCCTAAGTCTGGCCACTACAACATCAGTCAGTCTGTTCACATTGCAAGTTGCTCCATAAACATACTTATCTACGTTCATGTTATCATAGTGGGTTATAGATCTACTCAGGCTTCTAACTGCATTCCTATAATAATCATTTTCATTATTTACTTCTCTCCTAATATTATTCCTAATGCTAGACACAGTTATACCAAAATTATATTCTACATTCTACGTTGGACTCACTCGAAAAGGATAATTTTCCCTTCATTATTTCCAACAGCAAGTAAAGATCCATCTGGGGAGCTGGCCTGGCTGTATGTAGTGCTATAGAGGTTCTTGAGTGCGCTTACAACCATTATGCTCCTCCTGCAACTTCTCTTATATTTCTCCTTGTATTTATCTCTCTCAGTTGTTGCTGTTGGGGTTTATAGAGCCACTGACAGCATACGCCGTATTGAGCCCGGCCTTCCATTGCTCGGAGAGGGAACCTCAACCAAGGTGGAAGACTTCTGCGCCAGCCTTCGTCGGGTGTGGACGTCTCTCTCTCGCCTGAGTATCAGTGACAAATTTTCCCCGTTCTCACTGGGACGCTTGTCCTCATCTATTTTGCCCGCCGGGCACTCTACAGGAGGGGCACATGTTCATCGGTTTACTTTATCCAGATCCATTTGTTCCGCTCTGCGGAAAATTCTTTAACGGTCTTTGGTGGGAAGGCGGTTACTGAACTCTGGTAGGAGTGTAGGCGTCCCTCCCTGCTGGGGCTTGGCAAGGGCGTCCACCGGATCTAATTGGAAACTTCAAGTTTCTATCTCTATTTACAAAGGAACTTTTGTTCCTTTTCTCTCATCGCCCAGCCTTGGGCAACAATTTTTCCTCGTACCATCGAGAAACCGGGCTCGATACGCTTATGTTTTCGTGCCCGTAAACCAACAAAGAAAAAAAGATTATGTTTGACTAGTACGTAACTGAGTATTATATGTCCCTGTTGCGCCCTGAAGCCAGCAAGGATGAGCAGGTACCGGCCAAGATCTCCTGACGGTCCGGAGGGTCAAACCCCTCTCCGTAGAGGAGAGGTAGAGTAAAAGATTGCACTCTCAAACGTGCGCAAGGTCGCGCAGTGGTAACATGGGCACCACAGCAGGAAGTGTCTGTCCATCTTCTCCAATGCTGTGAGGAACAATCTCACCAGTACGGAGAGTCCGTCATCCGAAGGGGATGCAGATAAGCCCACCAGTCGTGAGTGCCTAACCCGGAAGCGAGTCAGTGAAACATCCACTGAGCGATTGGGATGGCGAGCCCACTCGGCTCACACACACTGAGGTCCGGAGTTCGAATCTCCGGTACGGCTGGAAAAACATTAGGGACGTGTTTCCATAAGACACCTGCTGTCCATGTTCACCCATCAGTGTAAAATGGGTACCAGGGTGTTAGTCGACTGGTGTGGGTCGCATCCTGGGACAAAACTGGCCTAATTTGCCGGAAATGCTCTGCATAACAAGTGGCTTTCAATATAGTAGTATGTCATCGATATCAGCTAGGCCTGTATACCTTGTACATGTACTTGTAGAAATAGAGATATTATATTATATTATTATATTAAAGGCAGGGGCCATTGAAAGATCGGACAGAGCTCAATGCCGAAGAGAGGGAGCGTACCAGGTCCTGCCACAATTGGCGGATTTTCTTCCAAACAGTCCTTGTGAAATTACTGCGGCCCAGTGCGGCCTATGCAAAAATGCTATGCACGTAAAAGGCCTGAAGCTCTGGAATTCATTGCCAGGATACACTACAGGAGCCCTGTTTGCAAATCAATTTAAGGCTCTAATAAGAAATCACCTCATCATCCAAAATTAACCAGACAAACCGTACCTAATCATTACCAGTTTCTCAAAAGCTACTAATATTGTGTTGATAAATGCTCAACCACTTACTACTTCGAAATTAGGATGTTTGTTGTTTCATTGTTTTAAACAGTAGTATTAAAATGGTATAAAATACCGACAGGTTGTTAGGTAAGACACATATGCAACAGTTAGATGTCTTTATTTCGAAACGTTTCGCTTACACAGTAGGCTTCTTCAGTCGAGTACAGAAAAGTTGAAGAAGCAGAAGAGACTTGAAGACGATATAATCAGTCCATCACCCTTGAAGTTTTGAGGTGGTCAGTCCCTCAGTCTGGAGAAGAGTATTGTTCCATAGTCTGAAACAATATGGAGTTGAAGTGATAGGATGGAGCCTTATATACCACCAGGAGGTGAGATGTGGGCTACTAGTAGAGGTAAGAATGTAGTCGTTGGGAGGATTTGAGAGGGACGTGACCTCCCAACGACTACATTCTTACCTCTACTAGTGGCCCACATCTCACCTCCTGGTGGTATATAAGGTTCCATCCTGTCACTTCAACTCCATATTGTTTCAGACTATGGAACAATACTCTTCTCCAGACTGAGTGACTGACCACCTCAAAACTTCAAGGGTGATGGACTGATTATATCGTCTTCAAGTCTCTTCTGCTTCTATCAACTTTTCTGTAATGAATGGTTTTGAAAACTGACAAGTTGAAGAATTGAGACACTTATGCAACACATGGGAATCTTTATTGAAGAAACGTTTCGCCACACAGTAGCTTCATCAGTCCAATACAAAGTAAAAATGGGTAAGGAGAGGAGAAGTTTGAGGTAATCAGTCCCTCAACCTGGAATCGATGTGTTTAGTCCATCACTCTTGTAGGAAGTGCAGCACAGGGCCAGAGAGGTGGCTTATATACTGCAGTCAGATGAGTCGAAGCAGGAGGCGGGATCACAGTGGGACCTGCCACTAGTGTAAGTAGGTCGTCGTCCAAAGGTTGGACAAGCGTTGAAGTCTTTGTACCAAACTTATCCAGTCTCCCTTACAAGCTACCCAAGATTTTAGACTCTATAACCCCTCTCGGTACATCATCAGATGCAGCATTCTCCACCTGACCTCAGCATTCTGAACCTGACTATAAATACTCGCGTACCTTCTACCCCAGATAGATCTGTTTGACTTGAAAAAGCCCACTGTATGGGCGAAACGTTGTCAATAAAGGATCACATTATACTGCATATGTGTTTATATTTCCATCGTGTCGGTATTTTATACCATTTATTTCCATTGTACCAAGATCCCATGATTGGATTGATGAAGCCACTGTGTGGCGAAACGTTTCTTCAATAAAGATTCCCATGTGTTGCATAAGTGTCTCAATTCTTCAACTTTTCTGTACTCGGTAAGACACATATGCAACAGTTAGGTATCTTTATTTCGAAACGTTTCGCCTACACAGTAGGCTTCTTCAGTCGAGTACAAAAAAGTTGATAGAAGCAGAAGATACTTGAAGACGATGTAATCAGTCCATCACCCTTAAAGTTTTGAGGTGGTCAGTCCCTCAGTCTGGAGAAGAGCATTGTTCCATGTTATGAAACAATATTGTTTCATACCATGGAACAATGCTCTTCTCCAGACTGAGGGACTGACCACCTCAAAACTTTAAGGGTGATGGACTGATTACATCGTCTTCAAGTATCTTCTGCTTCTATCAACTTTTCTGTACTCGACTGAAGAAGCCTACTGTGTAGGCGAAACGTTTCGAAATAAAGATACCTAACTGTTGCATATGTGTCTTACCTAACAACCTGTCGGTATTTTATACCATTTTAATGTTTTTCTGTACTCGACTGAAGAAGCCTACTGTGTAGGCGAAACGTTTCGAAATAAAGATACCTAACTGTTGCATATGTGTCTTACCTAATAAACAGTAGTAGATTGTAATACAGTAAATCATATTGAATCTTATCTTATCCATTGTAATACCAAATTTCATTGTTTTAAATAGTGCTAAACTGTAATACATCATATTGTAAATTGATTTAAAATGTTACATTGTAATACTGTAATATTTATTAACTAATTAAAGAGTGTAATAAGTCTCTACTAGACTTATCAAAACCATGTAGCACTACCTGAGAGAATATTCAATTCTCCTGTACTCACTGTAACTCATCTAATGACCATATGAACTATGTATTATTGCCTTACTAATTTTAAGTAATCTCTGCATACAAAGGGGCTTTTGGCATGTACACCCAACTATTATATTCCTCTGTACACCCATATAATTTGTCAAAATAAACATCTTAATCTTAATCTTAACTGTGTGTACGAGGGAGGCCGCTCGATCCGCCACTTCATTCCAAGTACCCACTGAAAAGAGATACTCCAACCTTGACTCCGCAAGAAACGCAGAAGAGCTTGCGTCTGTCGGACGAGGACGCGTAGGGACCGTGGACGGGCAGAGCACAAAAATGCCAGGCAAGATTGGGAATCAGAGAAGAGAACCAAAGGCTGAGGGAAAGGTGAGCAAGAATAAAAACCAGAGCCTGGTGAATGGCGAAGAGCTCTCCTGCCAGGACTGAGTGAGCAGGGTCTAACCCCCAGGTTTGACACAGAGAGATCAACAAAGAAGGCCGCAGATGTAGAAGGGGGGGGGAAGTCCGTGCTGAGCCGTCCGTGTAGGTGGAGAATGAAGAATCATACGTGACAGAACGAAACTCTTCAAAGAGAAATGCAGCTAACTGAGGGGGTTTCCTGTTCCTGGAGAGCCAATCCAGGTGAATGTACCGTGTCAGGTCCATCCAGGGAGGGACCGGAGAGAGGAGGGAGTCATCACTGGTGCAGGGAGTGTAAGGCAGGCCAGGGAACGTTGGGCCCTGGCCACAAAGGAAGGCTGAACCAAACGTGGGGGAACAGAGGCTGCCTCCCACATCCGTGGAGAGAGGCGACAGGGGTGAGTCCCAGGCAGAGGCCACATGATGGAATTGTAAACAAACCCTGGCCGTTCTCACTGACGAGAGGGGTGAGTGGTGGGTGGCCCGGTGGTCTGGTGGCTAAAACTCCCGCTTCACACACGGGCCTGGGTTCGATTCCCGTTAGTTAGTTTAATATCTTTATTATGCACCCCATACCCACCCTGTGGGCGGTAGTCAAAAGATTACAGAGGTACATAATGGGTCCAGGGACTGGACCCCAAAGTTATGATAGCTGAACTAGTTACAAAGGTAATGAACTCCAGGTAGATCTGGTCACAATCATGGCAAGTTACAAAGGTAATGAACTCCAGGTAGATCTGGTCACAATCATGGCAAGTTACAAAGGTAATGAACTCCAGATAGATCTGGTCACAATCATGGCAAGTTACAAAGGTAATGAACTCCAGGTAGATCTGGTCACAATCATGGCAAGTTACAAAGGTAATGAACTCCAGGTAGATCTGGTCACAATCATGGCAAGTTACAAAGGTAATGAACTCCAGGTAGATCTGGTCACAATCATGGCAAGTTACAAAGGTAATGAACTCCAGGTAGATCTGGTCACAATCATGGCAAGTTACAAAGGTAATGAACTCCAGGTAGATCTGGTCACAATCGTGGTAAGTTACAAAGGCAATGAATCAGCCTCACTCCTATACATGGTTACAGTTAGTTAAGTGTTAGTTTAGTTTAATA